ACAAATTTCATTAAAAATTATTCATGCGATTACTTTATCAGTCACATAATCCAAATATAATTAAATTAATTTTGAGCTCAGAAAAATGTTTAAACACCTAAAATAACATTATAATTGATTTGTTAGTGTTGTGCAAAAGGAAATAACATTATTGTAACTATTCAAACCTTATTGTCTTGACTTTGTATGCCCATAGATTTTATACAAATGTGTGATTATAACAAACGAGTAATCTGATGTCATATAAGATTATATTGAATGCTTCGAACGAATGTATACAAACGACTGATCATTATTAGGTGTCCTGTTAGTGTATTCAGTATTGTGTACACAAAGAAATCACTATCAGATAAAACAGACTGTCACAGAATCCTAATTACAAATGTTTTAAAGAACAAAAACATATAATGGATTCTCTCCAATTAGAAATTGTCACATAACTAACACTATTACGACGGAAGTTTTATTATTTATTTAATTTAAAAATAATAATTTATTTTTCTTTTGTAAAACAATTATTTAATAACTTAATTTAAGTTTAAAACATAAAATTATAGAGAAATTATTGCGTTAAATCAATATCTATTATTGATAATTTCATTCTAAGTTTTAAATTTTCAAATAAATTTCGCCTGCAAATTTATTTGTTACATAAAAACCAGATATTTTTTGAATATTATCAACAGTTATATTTAATTTTTATCCAAAGACGTGATTTATACTGTTTAGTAAACACTTGTACAGAATTGAGATGTCCAAATTATGTTTATTATTGCTTTTAACTTGACCAACACAAGTCACACTGTGTGTACCTGTTTCATGCTTGGAAATTTTAGCCATAAAATTAACGTTCATAACTTGATAATAATTTCCTTCCTTTTTTACCGCTGTATAATACGCAGAACCAGGAATATCTATACATTTGGCAGATTTACCAATATTGACAGTTATGGGTGCATGAACATTAAATGGCTTTGAGTGGTTACAAATTGAAGATACCTAATTTTAACATGAACAATTTATTAATAAATTAATTAACTTAATATATTGATTATTTATTATAATAATACTAATAAATGCAAATAATAATAATCATATAATATAATAAACACGTAGGACATAATTACTTGGCCATTTTTACAGGAAGGGGATATGGGAGATAAAACCTTGCATGACGAAAATAAGTATATCATATTTCATTATAAGGGATTTAAAAAATATATTATTACCATATTATAGTAACGATATACTTTGGAAGAAATAGTAAAAAAAAGTCTTATGTGAACATTTTGAAAAGAGGCCCTAAGAAGACAACCTGAGAACGTCTCTACATAATAAAATATTATCATCTCAGCAGCATAACCATTACTTTTTAAGTTGTAAAACACAGAAGCAAAGGATTAAATTAATAAAAAGAGAAAGCTTCGGGGACACTAAATGGTGAAATAATTAGTGTCATTTATTTCATGTCAAAACAGATTTCAGTTAAATATTTAATAGGTTAAAATAATATCAAAATAAATCAACTCTAACAGTTAATTTCAAAATAAATTACCTGACATATTTTCTTTTTACATATTTTTTCGTCATCTTGCTTATTGCATTTTTTTTCGGTAAAATCCCGTTTTTCACATATATTTTCAGTAAAATCATGTTTTTTATTGCAAGGTAAACATTTTTTTTTTACCATACAATCAACAACTGTGTCAATAGCTATACGTAACCATTCATCCCTCAGTTGCTTATGCACATGACCTTTCAAACAATTGGTACGATGAGTGACAAGACGTAACCATGACATGGCACTAATACCATCATCGTTTCGAAGTACCCACCGCTCAATGAGTGCATGGTCCTGAACACACCTTGATGGATTCTAATTAAAATAATGTACAGTAAAAATATCATAAAAAATAATAAAGACAATACCTGTTAGTCGTATAGAATACATATCAGGTGGATTAATTACAATTTAAATTGTATTAGTAACAGAATTTTGAAATTTTTGAAAAATTTAAATAAAACGTCTTAGTAAAATTATCAATTTCTTTTGATGACANTGGTGAAATAATTAGTGTCATTTATTTCATGTCAAAACAGATTTCAATTAAATATTTAATAGGTTAAAATAATATCAAAATAATTCAACTCTAACAGTTGATTTCAAAATAAATTACCTGACATATTTTCTTTTTACATATTTTTTCGTCATCTTGCTTATTGCATTTTTTTTCGGTAAAATCCCGTTTTTCACATATATTTTCAGTAAAATCATGTTTTTTATTGCAAGGTAAACATTTTTTTTTTACCATACAATCAACAACTGTGTCAATAGCTATACGTAACCATTCATCCCTCAGTTGCTTATGCACATGACCTTTCAAACAATTGGTACGATGAGTGACAAGACGTAACCATGACATGGCACTAATACCATCATCGTTTCGAAGTACCCACCGCTCAATGAGTGCATGGTCCTGAACACACCTTGATGGATTCTAATTAAAATAATGTACAGTAAAAATATCATAAAAAATAATAAAGACAATACCTGTTAGTCGTATAGAATACATATCAGGTGGATTAATTACAATTTAAATTGTATTAGTAACAGAATTTTGAAATTTTTGAAAAATTTAAATAAAACGTCTTAGTAAAATTATCAATTTCTTTTGATGACATAATTAATATTTTCAGAATAATTTTTTAATAATCATTTCTTTCTTTTATTGCTCTAATTTTTCTAATTAAATGAAATATATTCAAATTACTATAATTCTCAATTATTGAGTTTAGTATAAAAAAAAATAAATTGTAAGATTAATAAAATAAAAACAAAAAAAGTCGACATTTTAATAAAATTTAGAAACAAAGTATTAAAACTATTTATAATAATTGATACTAAAAAGATATTATTTCATTTATCTGTTTTTTTTTTTAGAATAAGACTCATCAATGTAAATAAAATACGGAATACAAATTTCATTATTAATTTTAAAAATATTATTTTATGTGTAGTACATTTTTATAAACAATTTAAATTTAAATAATGAAGAACAAAAATTTAAATAGCTATTGGGTTGACAATAAATAATTTATAATTACCTCACAATCGTTAAGATTCTTAGTACATTTTTCTGCTGCATTTGAGTTTTCGTTGCAAAGTCCTTGCTTATCATTTTCAACATTAACCTTTTGTTTTATTGTATTTAATTTTTGTAATTTCAATTGTTGTAGACGTTGTATTTCTTCTAATTTGATATTTTCCTCTTCAAGTTTCGCCTTCTCCATCATTTTTTTATTTTCTTTCTTCTTTGCTAATTCTTCCAATATCAACGCTTCTTTCTTTCGTTCTTCTTCTCTTAACAAATTAGTTTCTTTTAATTTATTAAGTGTATTTATTCTAAGTCTTTTAGCTGCTTCTCTCGAGCGTTCCCTTCGTTTTAGTTTCTCAAGTTTTTCTCTTTCTATTTTCTCTTGTCTCATTCTTTCGATTTTGTTTATTTTATCCATTCTCCTTTTCTTTTCTTCGTCTAATTTTTGTTGTTTATGCAATTCTTCCATGAGCAATGCATCTTCTTCATTTACTAGTTGGTGCTGACCAACGCGTTTAGTCATAACATCATTAGCCTTAGTGTTCTTTTTTTGTGATTTTTTTGCCTTAGAACGTTTTGTTGTACAACTTGCACCACTATACTTTTTTCGAAGTTGCCTAATCTCATTTGGTGTCAATTTTTTTTTCCACTTAAACTCGCCGTTAATCACATACGTTGATTCATTTTTAGTCTTAACTTTATACAATACGTCGACATCTTTTCCTTCTTTTCGCAAACGAGATGCCTCGTCATATACAAATCTATGGTTATAAGTACCTGGGCCAGGCAAATCCTTACATTTAACTGTTCGTTTTTTTTTCTTAACTTCGTCTTTAAAGCCAATACTACACAAAGAATATTTCAAAGATGTCTTATTCTTATCCTTTTTATTTTTACCTTTTTCGACGTAAGATTTATACTTAGTTGAGCTCTCATCATATTTTCCGGTACTTTTAAACGAAGATTTAAAATTTCTACTTAATTTTCCACGAAGCTTAGATGTATACTTTGAAAAATGTCTATTAAAAAACATCCGAGAAGATTGTTTTTTCATATTGTCTGTTTTGCTGTTTTTAACATTATTTTGCTCGGTAAACTTATTAGGAAGTTGTCTTTTTTCTTTCTCTTTGTCGGAAGCATTATTTTCCCTTATGGATTTTCCTTTGCTAATTTCAAAGCCTTTAATTATTTTGTGTACTCTTTCTGACTTTTTCAAATTATGCTTTTCTTTTTGGGGAACATACTTTTTGACAGCAGGTGTAGTCCCTTTATTATTTTTTGAATCAAATTCATTTTTATGTGATCTATAAAATTTATAATCGTTAATACATTTAGATTCCCATTCTACACGTCTGGAATTTTCATTTTTAACTAGCTTCATTATTCATTCATCATGAATGTAACGAGTAATTTTTAATTAAAATGATTTTCAAATAAAAAAATTTGACTAAAAACAAACAGTTTTCATCGAATTTCAAGCCATTTCAAATAAAAACAATATCGATTTAATAAATTTACAATTTACAAATATACAATAAATTTATTTACTTGTGTGTTATATTACTTTGGAAACTCGGTCAATAAATTGACTTTTATCATATTACACTTAAGAGAATCTAATAATTTTAAACTTTAAAAAATTCATGTCACATTTAGATTACTAATAATATAAAATTTTACTTTCATTAATTTTTGTTTTGTGATAGACCATGTGTATTTTATTTATACAATTTAAAAAAATAACATACAATTACTGACGGGTAACAATGAAAATACACGTTTTTTTAAAAATTATGCTATTAATTATTTATTACTTTTTATCTTTATCTATCGGCATCTAAGATATATGAATTTAAAAAATAAATTACTATTAACATACCAATTCAAACTTTGTATCTCAAAACAATCTATGTTGTTATTAATATTATAAGGTAAAACAATTTGCAAAACAAACATAAATGTTTATTTTACAAATTGTTAAAATGAATCATTATTTTTAATAGTCAACGTGAGAAATGGTATTGAAGAACTCACAGTCACCCGCAGAGACTATCTGAATGAAGAAATATGTATTTTTTGCAACATAGGTATTATTAAAATGTGTACTTTATCAACACTGGGACAATAATATTTTGTTGGTCAGATACAAAGTGGTTACCCATGTCACAATTTTTTTCTCGACTGGTTTTATGGGATGATAAAATTAAGTTAAATTACAAATAACGCTTTTTATTGATAATTGAAAATATATGGTGCATAGAACAACAGCAATAAACAGCACTGACAACAACTCCAGTGGACTTGACAGTTGAATCTATAGACCCTTGTCATAATATTACAATAATAGGTTTTTTAACGAATTTAACGTCTAAATAATCACACTGTTCGACTTAATATCATTAACAAACAAGATACATAAAATGTATTCTTAGAAAACTATTAATACTGTTTGGCTGCTACTAGACACATAATAGACTTTGCTTTTTATATAATTTTGCTACAGTAAGTTTCTTTATATTAAAAAAATAAACATATTTTTATTAACATAAAGCAATAAACTCCATACTTTTTATAAGAAATAAAAACGATTCATTCTATATTCGAATAAAACCATCCACATATACAGTTAAATTAAAAAATATATAAATGTACTTTTAAGCTGAAAATAACAGCAAGCATAAATTTTTATTACATGATCCTATAAGTACTGTCGAGTAGTTTCAAAATCATGAACTTGTGTCTAAACCAACCGACATTACAATACTGTTAAATAAACATTTTGAAAAATACATCTTATTCAACGTTTTGATTAACTATAGTCCAAAACTAACTACTTGCAATTGTCCCATTCATTGTCATTTCTATTCTTATCTATAGTTGCTGAATGCACGTAGCCGACTACGGTGCAAAAATAAAATTAAGAACGGTATTCTTGTCCTTCAGCGCGTGTCAAAGTACTTAAACCCTTTTTTCTATCCTACTCTATTGATTGTGTGTGCTTTACGGGAACAACACGTGATTAACGGCGACGACCGAAAACCGGTCGCTCGTATGAATGTCACCTGTCGCAGCGGCGAATGGGAAACACGACAAGCTCCGACCTAACTAATTAGCCGACGCGAGCGCGCGCGTATATATCGTCCTAATAGCGTTATCTGGTTCACTTGACGTTTCGTGTTCGGCCAAAGAGGGGAAAAGACAATTTATTCTCTTATGTATTGCATGCCGGGCACCTCCATGAAATAATAAAATACCTTTAAGTACCGAGGATGTACACATTACGTGAAAATAAAAAGTAACATGGATTTCCGATATTGTACATAATAAAGCTTTACAATGCTATAGACATAAATTCAAGGATATACAAAACGTTCTGTATGACTAAAAACGCTCAACTATTGGGTCTCGACCTGACTGGCGGAGGATGAGAGAGGATGTATCCTGGACATAACGACCGCCTCACAATTCCCAAAACAAGTGCTTTCTTTGCCCAAGTGCAGGTTACAGAATAATATAAACATAACATCGTATTTGACACTTAACACCACAAAGCTTGTAAAAAAAACTGAAGATTTCAATAAATATTGTTTCAACGAAGAATAAAAATGTACCTTCACAAGTAAAATCGACGTGTCTCAGTAAATACAACATTAATGTACCTAAACGTTTTCATTAATTATTAAAATTGACGATTTTGGTACCACGGTTTAAATACATTTCAATTAATAAAAATAACGATAAAATTAAAAAATATACATGTGGGGCCATTGTATTTTATTTTACAGTTGGTAAGTTTTCGAGACTAATTTTTCTATTAACAATATTTAGGCAATCTTGTACCTCATCACTCAAACATGAGCCTATGGTATTTTTAAGCTTTAAGTGAGTACACAATAAAATTCATAGTATACTTAGTCAAAAATATTATAAAAAACCATAAGACGTGAATATTATGCTTTAACTGTTATATTGTTATTTTTATTTATGAATCTTATCTTCTATCGATATTTTGTCAGTGTACTTTTTAATAAAATCGCAACTCATAGCTTTTATAAGTTAACATAACATAACAAAAGTTGCAAAAATATACTTTAAAATCCCTCTAAATTAGCGATGTTATTAATTATAATTCACCATCTAATCATAAACACTTTCTGATGACTTCATTATGCTCAAGATTAAAGGTTCATTTTTGTTTTGTTTCAGCTAAACATATGTTCAAATAGAATGATTATTTTATATGACTTAACAACATCTATCGAAGAACCACATCATATAAGTTAATTTGATGTACTTTTGACACTGCTATTTCCATGTCTATAACAGTCGATATATTTTATATTCATTATGGTAATTTTGTACATAATTTGTTTCAGTATATTACATGAAACATATAAGTCGCAATAAAAACGAACCACAAATAACCCTTTATACTTACAAGATTATTTACGCATAACACGTACAATGTAAAAACAACTATTTGTGAATATTCAGCATTACTTATGCTGTGAAAAATATGAATTTTATAAACCATCTTAGATTCATTGATATATAAAAAGTAAGATTTTTCGTAAATTAAAATTTATGAACTTCATTAGAATGTTTTAAAAAAATAAAATACCCATTTACGTGGAACGAGGGAAAAATGTTCAATTTTTGAGGGTAATGTCTTCAACTAGATACGTTGAGTAATCTTTTAACGTATCATTGAGAAAATTCGGTCCAGTGAAAACTGAGAAAAAGTAGTGCAGACACAAAAAAAAAATTAACACATCATGGTAAACTTAATATCTTTTTAGCTTCGCATCGAAGCTAAAATTCATTTAACCGGTTTTGTTTTGAATTAGTGAATAAACTACGACAAATTATGGTATATATTGTCTTTAAAGCTAATTAAAATATTTAATCTATTCATTCAAGTTGACTTCTATACTATATAAATAAAATATAGTTAAATACATTTTTAAAAATTCCAGGCAAAATCAAAAAAATTTCTGACATTACCATTTTAAAATCTACTGATTTTCAAGGCTCATAAACTTTACAGACTTGTGGAAATTATGATTAAATTAAAATAGATTAAGTTTGTTAACATTTTTTGGTAACAACCAGTTTCGAAATATTTTCCTCATTACACAATAGACAGACTCGTTTATTTACATATTAACAAACGAAATTTTTTTATATATTGCCATTATTTTTATACATTTTATTTTATTTATTTATTTATTATATTTTACTTTTTTTTATTACTGTGATTTTTTAATAAGTTAGTCACCATTTATATCAAAACTTGATAAAGATATTTTGTCTATAACCAATAATGGTTAACATTCCAATTCCATTTGAATTTAATATTTTTTAAATATATTTTCAATATATTTTATTTATGTTATACAAAAATTGTCTATAATTTCAATATTATTTTCAAAAAGGTAATATTATATTATTATCAGCCGTTCGAATATTTCCTTATTCATAAAAAAAAAACATTGCTTTTAACACAACTATGGATGTTATTCACAAATAAATAATTTTAAGTACCTATTTATTATTCTTAAAATACTGTAAAATTGAAATAACATTCAAATTGTTTTATTCGTTCTCTTCAAATCAACAGTCGAAATGTTTCTATTAATAAATAACAGTTGACACGTTGGTGTGGGAGGTTATAGATGGCGTTTCCCCGTGAAACCGGAAGAACAAAACAATCTCGTAAGCGTATAACGATAACAAATTCGAACGGATAGATAAATCGATGGATTGAATATATTTACGATTGAAGATAATTGATCAGAAAACGCTATGGAACTGTGTTTTTATTTTTTCCCTCGAGCGTTCATTTATTGTTTGTTTTAGAAATCCTAATTGAAGAAGAAATACTCGAAATAAGAACAAACCAACACGTAAATTATAAAAACCATATTGTAGAAACACACCATGTCTAGCACATCCACCCTTAGGATATATTGAGCCATTATTTACACTATGTATGCGATTTGCCTCGACAACCGTAAAAAACAAACACCTAATAAATAAAATTAAAATCGTCATTGGAATAAAATAACTATAAAATCATCGTCTAATATTATGTACACTGGCCCCGAGGACATTAAAAAATCCCTAGCGTGTTATAATATATCAATAAACACTTGATAACGACTTCAGTAACCAACTAGTTCTTTTTACTTTTATATGCAGCGTAAATAGTACTATATGAATTGGATTTTATCTTTTAATGAGATAACTTTATGATCTACACATTTTCATGAGACTGCTAATTCGGTTTAACTTACCACCTAAGTTTAATTTACTGTGAGAAAAATACCATCATCATATACAAATTTCATATAATAAATAATAGTTATCAATTGATTATCGAAAATAGCATGACAAGGGCCGTATTAACACTTATATGGACTCCGAAATGGTACCCTAAAATGAGTCCCTTCTATAAAATATATCGATATCATAAAAAAGTAATTAAAAAAAAAATAGCATGCCACTAATCATGACAGGTTAGAGTATTACTCATGAGCCCTTAACGATTATAGAAAATAGAATAAAACTTAAATAATTTACTTTATAAAAAAAATAAATTTTTATCATATTTTAGTAAATATTATTTACTAAATCATATTTTTAATTTAAATGACTTGATAATTATATATTACGGTTAAAAAAATTATTTCTTCCAATCATAAATTATTAAATTTTTATTAACATGAATAATAAGTGACTTCAAACTAAGAAGAATTAATTCGATATATTCATTTTTACCGTAATAACTAGTGATGGGCATTTTCGAATTGTTTTTATACAACCGAATAGTCTATTTTTAGCATAAACTATCGAATAGTTTTAAAAACTATTCGAATATATTGCGTAACAATCGACTATTTTTTTAATGACAATCGAATAGTTTGAATAGTGGACAACTGTCGAATATTTCGTTAGTTACTATTCGATATTTCCCATCGCTAGTCTCGCTCTATATACTAAAATCGTAAGCCCCTCAAAATAAGGTCCACCTGGAAGAAATATTGCGTTTTTTCCGCATTAAAATTCGCATTTCACTTTTCTTTCCGCTTCTTCGATATCGTTCGACGGCTCTTACGATCCCGCGTCTTTTCCTAACTTCCTTCGAATTTTTCGCCTTTTCCGTTTTCTTAAATTCGCGAAAAACGCTATTTCCTGGAACGGAAAACGACGCGAAATAGGGGAGCGCGTCTCCCACTAGGCCCCACGCGTTCCCGCCTNAAAACCAGTGATAAAGTTTTGTTTTGAAATTTTCATTTTTTACTTAAAATAATTTATAAATAACATGATTAATAACGTAAAATAATTAATAATATATTACAAAAAGTAAATGGCCCATGGGGGGATCGAACCCACGACCTTCGCGTTATTAGCACGACGCTCTAACCAACTGAGCTAATGGGCCTGATGATCGCCGCTTCGTTTTCAAAGTAAATAGATTATAGAAGCCACAGGAAGATGTTGAATATTAAATTATCATTTTATTTTTAAAACGTGCAGTTATTGAGGCGAAATGGTCGTCAACGCTTATAAGTGAATTTAGAGTAACATTAAAGTGGTAAAGGGTACTTTTTAAAAAATGCACAATTTTAAAAGCGAACGGACAAGTAAATTTTGAATTTGGAAATCAATTTTACAATTCACCAATAAAAAAAAATGTTCAACTACAAATTAAAATTGTCATCATTAATTTAATGGATATTTTTTACAATATTTTTATTATACTATTCGGATTTAGCTGGTATTGGGTTTGAAATAATGATTAGAAAAATAAATCAATAATCAATACTAGTACCTAACAATTAATATAACCAGCGGTTTTATAAAAATTATCACTACGTGGATGGATTCCATACATCATTTTTTTTTAAATATCTTACCTTCAACTTAAATACATAATACAGCTTGTCATGAGTTTAATTTAAATTTAAGTTGAGCTAACTGCACCTAAAATTCATCAAATAATTATTTAAAAGTTTGCAAAGAATACTAAGAATTTCCATACTAAACTATGTAGTAACCCAAAAAATAAATATAAGTAATAAAAGGTATGATAAAAGTAGATGAGTAGTCGCCGTTGTTCCTTTAGCTACTTTTCAATAAAATATACGAGACTCTTTGTAATTGAGTTATTACAAAAGAAAGTAAATTATCTCTGACGGTGTGGATAGGAGGGTTCGTTAAGAACTGACCTGAACTAAACTTACGAATAGTCAGGATCTGTTAAAATACTTATGTAAGTGAATACAACAAAAATATAGACTATTAATTTCTTAGCGTATAATAGTTGAAGCCACCTCAGCAATGATTAGTCTATAGACCTTTAAAATGACTCACCTGAGATTTCGTGTGTGATTCAGGACTTTATAATGCGAAGGTAGTTGAATTTGAATAAATTTTGAACACTAAATAAATTCTAGTCTTCACTTCCAGGCCCTGATAATCGATGTGAATGGAGAAGAGGATGTTTGAATAATTCGGATGCGGACGGACTACTGGCTATAATTTTTGAGATTGTTTTTGTGGAAACATTTAGAGTAATTTTTGTGGGAGATCTCGATTATCAGGAGACACCATCTGTGATTCTTTATTAGTTATACCAAAAGTGGCATAGTACAATGTTTAATACAATACAGTTATACATGATAATAGTGTTAGGTAGCCACGCGCTAGAAAAACTTATCTGCATAGTTTAAAGTACTTTGTAGTGACACAATATAAAGGTTACATTTAGTTAATGGTTAAGATGTAAAATATTGGTTACATATTATTTAGAATAATTAAAAATAAGAGTTTATGAATATTACAAAACGATATATTTTTATACATCCGTGGGTATGACACATCCGAATGCCGAGTAAAATAGTAATTAATAAAATACGACGGCGTCATCGTACATATTGTATCACAAAACAACACTATAAGGGCGGGTCTATTGTTAAGAAAATAATAATAGTAAACGTATTACCGATCCGTTTCGTCTTATGAAACTTAGGAAAAGACCTCATATGTGGTCATTTTCTAAGGAATGATTCTTATCGAGTCCGCGCACGGACATTAAAATACTACACAGGTACAATAAGATAATCATAAGTACTTTTAAACGCGTCTCAGTCGATCCCGTCCTTTGAGAACAAAATACAATATATATATATAATAATAATTCGTGAATATTATAGAAAAATCCAAAATGCCCCGGGCATTTCTCGGATTGCCTAATTTTTTTCAACCGTCGACCCCTCGCTGACCCCGAGTTCCCATATAAACCTTGGGCGTATCCGCCGCCGCATTTTCCCTTAAGCGCCAACGTATACTAATTGTTTACTGTGATCTACCATTTAATTTCCACGCCAGAATAACGACAACAGCGGCGGATCTCAATTCATAATGAAATAATTTGATGTACAAAAAGATTAGACGACTAATAATTTTATAAGTACATATTTTTCACTTGGGATTTTTGGATGGCATATACGTCACGACCGTATCCGCCGCCGTTTGATGACTTAATCCGACAGACCTCCGACGTCTGATCACGATAGTGTTATTAAATTATTATAATTTTTCATTACCTATTTCCTTGCATCTAATTCTCTACAAATTCATGCATTACTCAATCAATATCTTCATCATCGACACCAAATTTTCAATAACTGTAAAATTTATCGAAATTTATCAATTCTCAAAAATTTATATTACTAACATAAAATAATAAAATAATTTTTTTTTGATAAAAACCAAGTAATATTAATAATTATAACTGGTTGATGCTTAGTACAAACGACAAAAGTCATAAACGTGTAAATAATCCATTTAATCACAAGTAGATATGAGCTAGTTGTACCAAACGATTAATTAACTGAAAATATTAAATACCAATAAGATAACTGTTATCAATACGACTTATGAGTATTGAACCAAAAGAATCCAATCTTTTTTAAGTTTTTCAATGTTTTAAGTCATTAATTTAGCATTTTTACTCAAATAGTTTGTACAAAGCATCAAAGATATATTTATTATTTTTAAACCAAAAATATTGTGGCAAAAAAATCACATAATCGTTTAAATTGCATTCGTCGAGTATCATATTTACATTATATAGCGATACACGTACTTTTTCTGGATCTAATTTTTGAAAAATTCAATTTGACATGAATACATAATGCCTACCGATATATGTTACCAACGTTATATTTTCCAAAATGATTAATAATATCAAAAATAATCTGAGATCAACTACATTACTAGTGGTTCAGTTATACAATTTATGGTTGTTGTAACTATCATATGTAACATATTTATCTAAGACTTACATTATTGGATGGATAATCTTCTATGGCGTGAACAAATCCCACGTAAAATAAGACCGAATAATTTCAAAAATCTACTTAGCATAAAAACACTATTACATTTCAATATTATAGAATAGTCCTTCATTATTGACTATTGCCTGTGTATATGTTTTCATACTCCATTATCAACACTGTTGCTGATGCATTTTTCATTTCATCGTAGTATTGTCGGTATAAGTAATTGTTTAGGCACCTACACTATTTTCGATTTAATACAGCTATTAACCCATAACGGAATTCCATAAGTTCACAAGTAAAGTACTCAAAAGGATTTCAAGTTTGCCATATACGTTAGCTTAGAAAACATTTATTTTAAGTCTCAAACCAAAACTTATTCAGAAAAACTAATTTTAGTTTTTAACCCTTAACACTAGAGTCAATGTTTACTAATAAAAATACGTAGAAAAACTATTACAATAATCTTTCTACGTATTTTTACTCAACTGCACGTAATTAATTGTTTTTAGTACTTATTAGTAGTCATATTTTTCAAATGAACCCTTTTTATTTAAGTTAAGTAGTACAATATGTATCTAAATGAAACTCGCTTCTATATTTTCTTCATTAATTGATTACTTTATTTTAAATAATCAATGTTGTCATTTACATAAACATGTAGTGTAACATAAAATGTAATCATACCATTTAAAATGTTAGATGTAATTAATAACTATGAATGTCTTCATTTAACTAAAAAAAAACTTGTTTCCGGCGCCTATATATGTTACACGGCTATTAGTTTATATAACTACAGTTTCATTTCCTTTTAGTTTCTTAACGAGTTTCTCAATTCAAAATAAAGTATTACTCAGTTGGAGGGTAATTTTTTAAAGCATTGAAGTAACAATACCTATAGGTATTATGGTTCTGTGATGTCAAAAATATACAAGGTGTTCATTGAGTGAGGAAACAAGTCAGTTGTTACAAGCAATGAGAACAAAAGAAACCAGGTTCCTTACTTGCTGAACACTCAGTNCAGGTTCCTTACTTGCTGAACGCTCAGTATAGAAAATTAATTTAACTTTTTCATCAAATAGTTTTTTAAAGACCAGAAATAATTTAAAAAGGTATCGACATCTTTGACTAATTAGGTTTTCATAGTTGTCAAAAAAGTGGTAGAACAATTGGGTCACGTTTTAGTATTGCGATCCGATATCGCTAAATGGAAAAAGAGGTTTAGAGAAGCTGACAATCGGTAAAATAATGAAATGGTAATCGCCGTGCGAGTCGACAATAGCTAAGCGGCCACCCGTTGCGTTAAATCGGCCCAACGACGATGTGTCACGTGTTACGTTTTATTGTATAAATTTGATTCGGTAAGATCCATTGGTTAGATGTATTTGTGGGTATAACTCTGTTTGTAGGTAACAGTATTATGAATTCCGTCTATCAACCCCGCACCCTAAAGTTCGGACGAACTGAGAAAACCATTACCGAATTCCAGATCGGTAGTCTGCTGACAATATTTCATTATGGCCGTTTGAAATGTGAACCGCGTTAACGATACAATAATAATAACAATATTAGTTTTTAAGTTCAAATGGAGTGTACACATGATACTAAAACGTGGGGCATTTGCTCCACGGGAAATACTGATCTTATCCCTACAGGTTGAAATGTAATCCGTCAAACAGGACCGGTCACATAGAGTACGACGTATGATCGCTACGACACAATATTTTAATAATAATTCGTTAAGAAAATCTACACTGTACAAAGAACTCACTCTTTGCCATTAGCGCATTATAATGTAACCACGTGAATATCGTGTTACAAATAATGTAAAAATAAAACTTTACTTGATAAAAATACATCTTTTATGTTTGAATGCGATTAATTTATACTTTCATTTTATTAAACGAATGAGAAATTTTATTTTTCTACTATATGCTATTCGACTAAAGATATTTTTTCTTCATTTCATTGACAGTTTAAATACTTCTTCACATTTTTAGAACTGACATGCACTTTACAAGTTAAAATGTATTTTTAATTCTTACTTCCTTAAAATTGTATTTTTATATAGTAACATAATAAATTTAGAATTTTGGAAAGGCTAAATTCTTCCAATTCCCCACTTACCACCCCTATGATGTCATTTCATTCTTGGATTCTAGGTTGATCAGTGTTTTTTTTTCAGCTAATTATTAAACTTGCTTAATTTAATGATTAAATATATATATTTAATACATTTTATGTTTAATCTGTGCTTTATTTAAGTGAAACAAGTCCAACCTAGGACAGCAAAATCACTTTCAGTAATTTTAACGCGATATTAACATTATTATAAACATTTAAAAATCAAATTAAACTATTATTCATAAAAATTATATGTCAGACTAATCTAATAGATAAATATTTTTTGTAGCACATTATTCTAAGAAGGCTCATTTCATAGTTGGAAACGTAAATTTACAGTAAGAATTTAATTACAGGCAATAATTTTCATAAATTGTGCCCGAATATTACATATAATATTAATGAATCTTTATTTTATTTAACGATAATCCGTCGAAAATTTTTTTCGAATTATATACGCGGTTAATAATGTACACAAAAAAATATATACAGGCGGTAGAAAACAGCTGGTCGGATAGATTAAGCAGCGTCTGTGTTTGCCGCACACTATATATTATGTGTGGACTAATAATTTAAAGCGAAATAAATACCGACAAGCCCAGCAGTTAATAATTCGTATGATCAGCAAAAGTTGGTGTGCCTACAGAAAATATTTTACACATAAAGGTGAAGTTCGATGCACGTTCGTATTATATACCCAAGGAAGATAAAAGCGGCTAATAAAAATATAATATACACGTTGAGTTTTGTGGTCATGAATCTTGAGTGCCATTACACTCAAGTGTGCGTATGTGTAAAATTAATGTTTTTAACTGGCAGTCCGGGTGCCAATAAATGAAAAATGAACATCGTCCAATCAACGGAGGCAGAAACCCTGTGGTGCTGGTACAAGTCGGCAGAAGTACCAGTGTGATATCGCTACTGCGAATTGTCTACGTGGCACCCTTTTCACTACACACTTTAGCATTCAACAAGAATCACCAACAACGATAACGTGTACCATAAAAAACAAACATTTTAGTTTAATAAACCAAATATACTAATGTATAGTAAAATCGTTTAATTTTCATTTAGAATAATGTTTCATGTGATGTAATTTGTTTTTTAAAATTGGACTTAATAGGAGGAATAANATTTAGAATAATGTTTCATGTGATGTAATTTGTTTTTTAAAATTGGACTTAATAGGAGGAATAATTTACAAAGAACTTACTACACTATCTATAATCGTACAACAATTTACAATCATAAAACTACATGTAAACACCATAAAATCAATTGAAAAAATTTAGGACAATTTAATT